AAAGCCTATATTCTAACCCCTCTGCAAAAGTTTGGGCTCTTGGAAGATCACATACTAAACTTAAGTAGGCTTATTATGGCCTTTAGTTTATATTTTATATCTACATAACTTGATATTGCTTTTAGAGGGAAGGAAGATAGGAACTCTTGCCTTGGAAAAAACGACAACCATTTGCTGCTAATGTCACATTTTTTAAGCCAGGAATTAGGAATTCCATCTAGAAATTACTGTTCCAGATCCTGTCTTTAAAAAAAGCAACTTAGAAATTAACATTCAAGAACCAATGGATAGTAAAGATAGAGACCCATAAGAAATAGTCTCCCCAAGTCAAATTTCTGAAGATTGAGCTTCAGCAGAATCATTGTCCATTCTAGATTAAAATCTTTATCTGCCATGTCCATGAATAAATGTGTGAAAGATTGAAAGCTAGAAGTTGGGACAGACAGCTGAGGGACTGGTGTATACTTCAGCGGGAAGAAGAGTTGCTGAGCCTTGCCGCGTCAGCCGTATCAGAGAACCAAATCAGGATGGAAAGACCAGTTTCTTTCCTGGTGCAGGGAACTTAGAAGTCATGCTCTGACCGTAACGAAGATCAGTGGAGCACTCTGGTTCTTATCCATATGAAGAGTGTTCCTTGCCGAGTGGACTCATTTCTTCTAAAATGGCTACAGTTGTAAGCGTAAGTTTAATCGGGTTTCTTGAACCTAGGTCTCTTGTAAGTGAATAACGTAACAGTCCAAGAAGAAGACTATCAGGTCACCTTTTTTGCATTTTCTTACGTATGATGCCATATCCTAGGGAAGAATTTTTGGTTATTGTCAGGCGTTTTTAAGAGAACCTGCAGGGAAACAGCTGCAAGGATAGAAGCAGAGAGATCAGTTCTGTCATTGCAGTAACCCAGGTGAAGGATGATGGTGGCTGTGACCGGGGCCAAAGCAGCAGAGGAACAAGAAGTGGTTGGATTTCAGATATGTTTTGCAGGTAGCGCTGCTGACAGAGTGGAGGCAGTGGGAGAGAGAGGGGTGTCAGGGATGACTCACACGTTTGGTTTCAGCAGCTCAAAGAATGGTACTGCCATCACCTGAAAGTTAGATTTTTATGAGCAGTTGCTCTTATTTTTAAATTTTACTAACAGTTTTCTCTAAACACTGCGACCCCCAAGCAGATGACATCTTTAACCCTTTACTTTTACCCAATCAGATCATAGCCTCTGCCAAAGACCTCAGCAACGTAACTTTGGTTTAATATGTAACAAGTGAAAAAAAACGATGTTCAGAAACAACGTGATATTTTTCAAAGCACTTTATTATTAGGAAGAGTATAAAAAAGTAGAAATAGCAAACCTTGTGAATATTGTATACAGTTTTACTTGTATTGTTGAATGTTTTTTATAAAAACATTATTCAATGTTTAAGAAAAATTGGAAAGCCAGATTTTTTTGTTCTGAGTAAAATGACATGACAACTTACGAACCACTATTTCAGTCAATTAAAAAAAAAAAAAAAAAACTCAGATACTCATCAAATTTCTGATTAGAAGAATAATTTATAATTACTTATTTTTGATGCCAGTGATGTCTAGCATTCAGAAATTCCACACTTAACAGTTTCCGCTGTTCACAGTTGACCTTTGCAAGGTTTATGTGTCCAGGAGGGAGCCACTTAGCCAGATACCCAAGTCTCTGTGTCTCAATATTGTTCTGATGTCTTCACCCATACATAGTAACTCTCAACGAGTTAAAACTTCTATTTGTTAAAAAAAAAAAATCAAAAAGAAAGTCTACAGCTGATGCCAAACTGAAAGAAGTTGATTTTCATTACCGTCTCATTTCATTTTATGGGCGAAATTATATGTGATAATTGGTAAGGGTCTAAAAACATGTGAACGACAGCAGTGTTTTGAATAACTGAAAGACTTCTTGGGCCCACACGTTTCTTGTGTGCGTACGTTTTCCGCACGGCCAGCTGCAGCCTCACGGCATCCACGTTGAGTTTCCGCTTCTCCGCCCAGACTTTCTGGCCTGAGCCGCCCGGATCCCAACCCCCTGAACAGTGAACAATGGCGTGTCTTACCAGTTGGCTGAGTAAAGGGATCATGTGTAGTGCTGGAACTGAGCCTAGGATTTGAACACGTGAATTCATTAACAGGAGCCAGCGCCAAGCCCAGGTTTCTCCTAGGCAAAACCTCGGCATGCCAGCAGCCTGGCCACACGTAGCTGGTGGTAACGGCAAACTTAGGATGGGTTCCTTTTGTCTTCAGCTTCTTCTTGTCGGGCCCAGGGCTACCAAAAGCTCTTGAGCAGAGCTCTGGTTTTAGGCTTGACTGTGGTTTTGCCTCATCTTGCAAAGCAGTGTGCAGGAGCTCTGAGCAGGGGAGGTGTACTTGATGGAAAGGTCCTACCTTTCTGTTTGGTCTTACAAAAAAGAGCAAGCAAAAAAGTAAAGGGTTAAGTATAAAAACCACTTGAAGCTCCACTGGTGCTGTGCTTCCAAAATACATTTGTAGAAAGATTAAGCTGTATTTGTCTGTTCTTTTCCTGCTGAGCGCATTGTGAAAAGTAGTAGTGCTAATTCTGTTTTATTTGACTAAATGGCGGTATCATGATTGTGTCAGAATAAATGGTTTGTGCTTGAGTGTTGTAAATTTATCATGAAAGGGCTAGAAGATATTGTAAGGCAGCATAACTGTACTCTTATAGCTTCATCAGTAATGACACATAGATATAATTAGGCTTTAGCTAAGGATAGCAGATAAAATGGACAATAATTCTGGGAAGAAAAGGGTTGAGATTCTGAGAAACTAGAAGAACATAGCAGAGTGCATCCATTCATCTCAAGCTCAGCACAGAGAACTACAGCAGCATCTGTTATCAAAGTCATGGCCCCCCACGTGCGGACTGCTGCATCCTATTATTTAAGAAAATGGTCTTTCCCTCTTGATTTTGTTTCCATTTCACATTTCATATCCAATCCCTGTGGCTGATACCCTATAGACAAAGATCATCTCAGACATGCTCCATGATTCAGAAATAACAGCTTGATGATGGAAAGTTGATCCATTTATTTTTTAGAAACTACCCAGCTGTTCCTAAAGAAGCATCATTAATTCCTTTATTCACCAAATGGGACTTCAGTAAATACTATGTACCAGGCAGTTGTGTTCTATGCATTGTTCTGCACATTGGGAATCCAGCAGCGGACCAACAGTGTAAAATGCCGGTCTTCAGGAAGCTCACATTCTGGGCCCTCAACCCTCCCAGCTCAGCTTGGCCCTAAGTAGGAGTGAAACAGACTCAGTGAGCACTAAATGAGAGGGGAGATTGGAGAGAGCAGTTTGTCACCTCCTACCTGTTAGCCCCCCCCCGCCCCCCGTCCTTCAGCTCCTCCCCTTTTTCCTTCCTGCAGCCCCAGGCAGTCAGTGTGCTGGCCTACTCCAGCTGCCACCTGTGTTGTCCCCTTAGACCAGCTAGAGCACAGTGCCCTTTCCCAACTTTTCCTCTCTTCTGTGTCTCTAAAATAAGTTCAAGCATCTCTTTTAGAGTTTTTATTAAGCTTTTACGAAGAGTTAGCTATGATCCTGCCTACTGCTAATGGAAGTATAATAGTTTATAAAATTATAAGAAATAGATGCCTGTGATCATCATGTAAATACTAACTGGACAAGGTCTTCCTCTTTGGAATAAGTGGCCTAAAGTTCTCTGTTTTACTCCACAAACCCTCTCTTCTTGGGCCCTGTCTTATCAGAAGAAGCCCCATTTCCCTACTGCCCTCTCCCTAGCCCTGGTCCTCTAGGAAGACAAGAGGTTGGAATGAGTGAAGATGGGCCAGGGAGGAGATGGAACCCATTTCCTCCTCATCCGACTCTGCTTGGCTCCTTTTTGTTTCATGCAAGAAACATCTTAAATGTCAAATAAGCAGACTCCTTAGTAACAACCCTCCTGAGCATATTCTTGGGGCAGATCCGGTGGTGGTCTAGAGCCTGCTCCTATATATAGGGTGGTGAAAGCCAGTTACATGCATTTCTTCCCGACTCACATTCAGTGGATAGCTTGAAATCTGCCACAGCAGGAGTATGTACACCATGGTAATCAGCAAACAAGGAGTGCTGATGGCACAATGGTTAAAGCACTCATCTGCTAACTGCAACATCTGCAGTTTGAACCCACTAGCCGCTCCACAAGAAAGAAGACTTGGCGATCTGCTCCTATAAAGATTATAGCCTAGGAAACCCTATGAGGCAGTTCTACTCTGTCCTATAGGGCCGCTACAAGTCAGAATCAACTCAACAGCACCTAACAACAACAATTAACAGATGGAGCACCTGGGTGCAGACAGTTAATGTGCTCAGCTACTAATTGAAAGGTGGGAGGCTCGAGTCCACCCAGAGGCATCTCAGAATAAAGGCCTGGTGATTTACTTCCAAAAAACCCGCCATTGAAAACCCTGTGGAGCATAGTTCTACTCTGACACACGTGGATTTACCATGAATCTGAATTGACTTGATAGCAACTGGTAATCTGCAGAATTATAAATCAGAGTTTTGTTTTGCTTTTGTTTGAGAGAGCCAATTTGTCGGCACACCACTGGGTAGATCCTTCTTAATCAAATTCTTAACTGATTCCACCATAGGAAAGAAACCCGTGAACACTGTATTCATTCATATGCTTTAATTCTGCTAGCAATAATTTGGAGAGGGGATGCCAACCAAAATTAATAGGAGATTTGATCCAGAAAGTTTCAAAAGCCAGATCCGGTATCAAGCTGCACAGATTTTGTTCCTACTTTGATTTCCCTTAAGAATAAAGACTGAGACCATTTCGAGGTAGTTTCTTTTATGTTGTTTCCATTGAAATATCCCAACACAATGATTCTAAAACTTGCAGGTGTCGGGCCATGATCGTAATTAACAGGTCTTTTCTTTGGATTGTAGAACGTGTGCTTGTTCGTGTGTCATGGATGGGGTGCCACCTTTGCTGACTGGTCCTTTTCTACACTGTGTAGGACTGCGCACGCAAGGGCTAAAGCTGATGCCGCCGACCAGGCTGCGCTGGCCGCCCGCCAGGAGAGCGATATCGCCAGAGCCGTGGCCAGGGAGCTGTCGCCTGATTTCTACCAACCAGGTAAGACAGCTTTCCTTTGAGGGAAGAGGTAGGAGCAAAGCCATTGGCCTTTAGTTTTCTTTTGTCATTTCCTTCTCCTAGATCATCATTCTTTGTTTAACTACAAGGTCTGTGCATCTTGAGTCGCAGAAATACTAGAAAACACGTGGGAGATACACAGTAACAGATATTGTCTGAAGTCTGAGGGTAGCCCTGGAGATCTGGGTTATTCGCCTGTGTGTCTCCCCTCTCCCTATCCCCCGCCAGCAACACCGAAACAGCCATCGTTGAGCTGATAGCAGTAAACAAAACCAGAATCTAAAAGAAGTATTTGATCCTAAGAAATTCTGTTAGTGACAATGCAGATACTAAGACAAATACCCCACATTCAGAGGCTCCTGGAACAGTAACATTAGCAGTATGAGAAGAGCCGGTAAGTATTGTGACTTGTTTTTTTTAATATACCTCAACGAAGGCTCGAAGGAGTGTGGTTAGGAGATAAAGCAATATAGCACTTAAAGACCACCGCACAGATGGAGAGGAAAATGCACATCCTGATGGAAGAAACAGAAGTGACAACCTCAAAAAAAAACATCTTGGTCATCTGCCTCTCAAATGTTATAAAATAGCAATAAATAAATACATGCAGTAGGTTCAAAAGCTCCCTTCCTGGTAGACGGTTTCCATCCTTTTCCATACTGCACGGGTGTTTTTGTATTGTATTTTAGACTGGCTGTAGTCACCTTTTTCTATGTGTTTCTCCATTTTTTATAAACAACCTTCCTGGTGATTTTTTGAGATATGAGCTGATTTCTAAGTGAAAGGACCCAACGCATCAAATCTTCTAAATTTCTAAATATCAAAAAAATTTTATAAGGATTTTCCTTATTGTTTTTAATTAAATCAAGGTGTCTAACCAGCACCTTGTCCCTAGCCCAGCGACCTGCAAAACACAGGTGTTCAATACACGTTTGGTTCAGATGAAGCTGATTCGTTATTGGAACCCACACAGCATCACTGTGTCTAAATGAACAAGGTCAGTCAAAGAGCAAAGAATGGCAAGATCACCTAAAAGCTAGAAACTTGGCTGTGATAAAAGATGTAGGAACAAGAAGGAAATGACCTGGAGATGTTTATTTTTCTGCAAAGAAGAGAGCAAAAAGCCAGGTTAAGGAGACAGTTTTTCTAAGAGAAGGGCTTGGGGAGGGGCCCAGTCTGATGGCTAATTGATAGATACAGTCATCACAGAGTGATGGCTGTAATAGTTGAAATCCAAGGGAGGCAACCAGTGGTAATGGAGTGTTGTCTTTCTTGTGCATCTTTTCTACACCCTCGGATGGAATTTAACTCATTTAGTAATTATGTATATTTCGTTAAGAAAGGGAAACTTTCCAATTTTTGTAATGACCTCCGTTAGAAATAAAATATTTTCTTGCATGAAAAGAAATCACACTTCCTGGTACTGAGGTACATCAATGACCTACCTGTTGCAGGGTGTGAGAACCACAGAAAGCTTTCAGCTACCCCGAAGTGATTGTTCTGTTCCTCCCTAGCGGCACTGCCCTCGTGAAGAACCACTGCAATTAGAGACAATGCCCTTTCACAAAACAGCACTGGGTTTGAACTGTTGGAAAGAAAACAGACTTCCTGTTGTTGTCTGTAAATGGTCATTTCTTGGTTCTGTTGTGAATTCTGCTGAAGAATGGGGTCCCTAATAGCTTTCCATGAGGTGTTACCAAGAGGTAAATGATACGGAAGTTTATCTCGGTTTCTCAGACTAAATGGTTTTAAAAGCCTTTTATGGTGTAAAAGCATTTGAGAGCAAAAAATATTGTGGGAAAATGTAATTCCACCCTTTCTGAACTAAAACAGCTTCATGTAAGCCAGTTATTTATCTGTAATGAGTACATTACGGCAGCATGAGATGACAACGGGTCTTTTTACGACAAGAGCTATGGGTAAAGGCCGTGCTCCCCTTTGACCCGTGGCCAACACTTCTTTAGGCAACTGTGTAGAAGGCCTTCTCTGTCCTGGTATTATTGGTCTTCTCCATGGAGCATAACTCATGCTTTCCACCCAGCATTAACAGGGTGATCAAACCAGATAGACGTTTTCTAAAAGGGCTTTCAAATACTTTTCTAAGTCAGGCTGCTCATTTCATTTACATAGCTCAGATATAAACGTTTCCATTGTTTGGAATGCATGTGTCGTGCCTAGAAGTTGTTAACCCTAGGAAAAGGCTTGTCTGTGAAAGCATACATTTTGAACACTGTTGTGGTAGGTTGTCTGTTTTCAGTTATATTTTCAGATATTTACCTTCTCAGTTAAATCGTAGGCTTTTAGTGCAGAACTGTACTATTCTGTGGTTCTATTAAAAACTAAGGAAAAAACGTAGCCCTGTGGGATGGCTTTATCACTCAAATTGTTAAGTTCTAATAAATAATAAAAAGCATACAAATGTGTGCCTGTGAATGTATGTACAGATCATCGCATGTTGTTAGTTGTCATCGAGTCAGCTCGGACTCATGACGACCCCATGTACAACAGAACAAAACGTTGCCTGATCCTACATCATCCTCACGATCACCAGCATGTTCAAGTCCATCATTGCAGCTATTTGCCAGTCCTTCTCACCAAGGGTCTCCCTTGCCTTTGCTCACCCTCTAATTCATCCAACATGATGTCCTCCTTCAGCAGTTGGATTCCTTCTGATGACATGTCCAAAGCAAGCAAGTTGGACAGTGTTGTGTTGCAGTCCATGAGATCTTTACTGGCTGATTTTTGGAAGTAGATCAGCAAGCCTTTCTTCCTGGCCTGTCTTAATCTGTAAGTACTGCTGAGACCTGTCCACCATGGGTGACCCAGCTGGTGTTTGAAAAACCAGTGACACAGCTCCCAGCATCATAGCAACACGCAGGACACCACAGTGTGACAAACTGAGAGAAGGGTGGTAGAGATCATTGCATACGTGCAGAGAAACCTAAACTGCCATCAGTAGAGTGACATGGTGAGTCATCCCTCAAGAACTTAGAAATAAGATTGTCCTCTAGAAGTTAAAGTTTACATTGGTACAGAGATATGTAAAGTGATCCTAAGTGATAGACTGGCTTCAAGAACGACCAGAGTTGCTTGCAACCTGATTGAATGTATCAAAACATTTAAGGAAAGAATTCATAAGGTTTTCACTGGCTAATTTTTTTCAGAAGTGGACTTGCCAGGTCCTTTTTCCTAGCCTGTCTTAGTCTGGGAGTTCAGCTGAAACCTGTCCACCATGGGCGACCCTGCTGGTATTTGAATACCTATGGCATAGCTTCAAGCATCACAGCAACATGCAAGCCACCACAGTACAACAAACTGACAGGTAGCATAAGATCAGGAACCGATGGTACTGAAGGAAGAAGTCCAAGCTGCACTGCAGGCATTGGTGAAAACAAGGCTCCAGGAATTGATGGAATGCCAATTGAGATGTTTCAGCAAACAGATGCAGTGCTGGAAGTGCTTACTCGTGTATGCCAAGAAATTTGAAAGACAGCTACCTGGCCAACTGACTGGAAGAGATCCATATTTATGCCTATTCCCAAGAAAGGTGAGCCCACCAAATGCGGAAATTATCAAACAATATCATTCATATCACACGAAAGTAGAATTTTGCTGAAGATCATTCAGAAGTGATTGCAGCAGCACATCAACAGGGAACTGCCAGAAATTCAAGCCAGATTCAGAAGAGGACGTGGAACCAGGGATATCATTGCTGATGTCAGATGGATCCTGGCTGAAAGCAGAGAATACCAGAAAGATGTTAACCTGCATTTTATTGACTGTGCAAAGGCATTCGACTGTGTGGATCATAACAAATTATGAATAACATTGCGAAGAATGGCAATTCCAGAACACTTAATTGTGCTCATGAGGAAGCTGTACATAGATCAAGAGGTAGTCATTCGAAAAGAACAAGGGGATACTGAGTGGTTTAAAGTCAGGAAAGGTGTGCGTCAGGGTAGTATCCTTTCACCATACTTATTCAATCTCTATGCTGAGCAAATAGTCTGAGAAGCTGGACTATGTGAAGAACGGGGCATCAGAATTGGAGGAAGACTCATTAACAACATGCGATATGCAGATGACACAACCTTGCTTGCTGAAAGTGAAGAGGACTTGAAGCACTTACTGACGAAGATGAAAGACCACAGCCTTCAGTATGGATTACACCTCAACGTAAAGAAAACAAAAATCCTCACAACTGGACCAGTAAGCAACATCATGATAAATGGAGAAAAGATTGAAATTGTCAAGGATTTCATTTTACTTGGATCCACAGTCAACACCCATGGAAGCAGTAGTCAAGAGATCGAAAGACGCACTGCATTGGACAAATCTGCTGCAAAAGACGTCTTTAAAGTGCTAAAAAGCAAAGGTGTCACTTCAAGGACTAAGATGCACCTGACCCAACCCATGGTATTTTCGTTTGCCTCATATACATGCAAAAGCTGGGCAATGAATAAGGAAGACCGAAGAAGAATTGACACCTTTGAATTATGGTGTTGGTGAAGAATATTGAATATACCATGGACTGCCAAAAGAATGAACAGATCTGTCTTGAAAGAAGTACAACCAGAATGTTCCTTAGAAGCAAGCATGGCGAGTCTATGTCTCACATACTTTGGACACGTTATCAGGAGGGACCAGTTCATGGAGAAGAACATCATGCTTGGTAAAGTAGAGGTCAGCGAAAAACAGGAAGACCGTCAATGAGATGGATTGACACAGTGGTGGCACCAGTGGGCTCAAGCATAAGAATGATCACGAGGATGGCACAGGAATGGGCTGTGTTTTGTTCTGTTTTCCCTGTTGTACATGGGGTCACTGTGAGTCAGAACTGACTCGACGGCAGCAAACAACAACAAGGAAGAAATTGGTCACCCAAGGAAATACAGAAAAGAGTCACAGAGGCGAAAATCGGCACTGTCCATCCAAACACCGTCCAGAGGAGGAGACGCCTTAGCCAAAACCTTGGAGTATTA